GCAGGTACAGAGGCATGGAGACCAAGGTTCTTCTGAGCAGCATCGCCAGCATCGCATCCGTTCGGCCTTTCATAAATCACGCTCTACAATGGTTCCCCACGCCTATGCGTTGATAATAAGGCTACGTAAACACTCCCGAACCGTTAGCGCCATTTTTGTTTCCTTCGGGGCAAATTAGGAACTTCCAAAGGGGGAATACTCGAAGTACAGGGGTCACTCTGGAATGGCACCACTCAGTAGAATTGCAGATAACCACCGTGACACCAACAAGGTGGGCCATTCAAACCTTCGGTAGTTATTATTAAAAAATTCCGACTAGACCTACTGTAAGCAACAGCACTGTTGGGTGGCTTTCTGGTTTTATTGAAAATTCTCTTAGTCATCTTTAGGTTTACTCGCCTTGGATAGGGTTTTTCACGAGAACTCACCGCATTCAAGATAGAGTGAGAGGAGTATTCTTCGGTCTCCGACGTCTGTTTATCCTTGTGAAAGTATAATCTCCCAATCAAGGCCATAGTCTTCCAGACCTGTATGCCAATGGTAAATCTTCTTCCTTACCACATGGCTTAAGACTGCTTTATGAAAGACGCAGATTCATGAAGGTGAACCGACTGTGGGTAGATTCGATAGGTCGAACAATGGCTGTAAAGAGCTAAACACAACGTGTGAGGCAAAATGACGGCCTATGTGGTATTTTGTGGTCAATTCAATTTGACTGCTACTGTGTTACGCCCCCACCACCCTGGCCGTGAATACACGAACCAGGTCCTGGTTACCTGTCGTCCGCCTATGCTTCAATAACTGAAGAGTTCTGACTTCCCCTAATACCTTCATAACATTTAAAAGAAAATTTTGACCCCTTGAATAGGTGCATGACAGTATAAATTAATAAGATAACTTCTTTTAATTTGAAGAATCTCTAACATGTAAATTATCATTCATTCGTATGCATTGTAAGACATGGGTAGACACTTGTCAATCTGTTGCCTTCCCTACAAATGGAGAGACTTGCGATGCGAAGTGGATTTTATGCTTCAGCGTCAATTAGGCGAACGAATACATCAATTGGTTGCTCGATCACTAGCGCCCCTACACTTCTAAGTCACGCACCACTGCAGATGGAGTGGGTTACTTGCTAAAGACCGAACAATTGCTGCAGAAACAGACATTATTCATCATTCGGTGGGATGAACGTGAACACTTCAGACTTCATAACTCCACTGAACTTTTCTACTAAAAATCTACATTTTCAAATGAGAGGGAGATAGATCCTATTTTTTTCCAAGCCTCATCTCTCTGCCACTTCTCTGAACGATAGGCGTCTGATTTCCTTAGTATCATACAATCACAAGACCGCAAGCAGAACAGACAACTATGAGACATGGACAAGGAGAAAGGGAGTAACTGATTGTCCCCTGAGGTAGAACCTTTAATAAAAGTGGAATCCACTTGCACGTCTCATTAGGAAAGGCTTCGTTAATTTTTGTTCCTTTGGAAGCCACGTTCTCGCTAAATGCGATGACAGAACGCTGTTTCTTCCCCTTTGGCTCAATTTACGTAAAAAAACCACAACCGTCTCTGCACAATCCCCTTTCCCTTAATACACCTCCCAGACACAAGGAAACTTCAAACCTAGTAGAATTCTCAAGAGGGATAAGTGTTGTTGAAGTCAGTTGCACGCAAATTTGATGAATGGGTCGGTTGGTTCGTGGATGCTTTCTATGCAGCACCGACGACATTATGGTGGTTAATGCGGAAATTTGACCAAAGAAAGCGGTTGCGAAGACACTCAAATGGAAAGGACTGCTATGTAATAGTTTTTTTTATTTGTTTACCTCTTCGTTTTGGTCTATCAGAAGCATAAAGTTGTACATTTGCTTGACGGCATAGCCTCTGGGTCCTTCTCTATACTGGAAGTTCATTTTCTGTCTCAGTGTTAAAACTTCATTTCGCCACAGAGACGATTCAGGGCGCTGAGATTGGTCCATTTAAACAAATTAAAGGTCATTACTTTCACTCATGCTACCAGTGTTCAGGGTTGACCTCATTTGTCTTTCGACTACTCTTCAGTTAAAATGGCTGCTTTCCAAGTATGTGAATGTCAGGTCATTTCCACCTTTCTGACCATTAGCAAAAATAAAATTCCTTTTTATTTAGCACATTTAAGTTAGCCACTTTTAGGCTATTCATCTGATAATTTGGAAGTTGTTTTTACCGCTTGATTTAATGCCTCCAAGGGCGATTCCTTTGATTTACACGAGCAGGAAGAATGTTTTGCCCTCTCATGAGTGGCTAATGTATGCAATTCAGCAATTATTGGGCTTTGTCCTTAAGAAAGAAGTGATGCATAAATTTATTTGTCAAAAAGAAGAAAATGAGACGAAATCAGTGCGACATTGAGCTTACATTGGAGTGAGCTTGGGTCCTTCCGAGTTTCCAGTTCGAGTAACCAGGCAAAGTAGGTTTCATCACGGATGTCTTCATTTGTCCACGTGTGTGAGTAAGCGAGAGGTCACGGCCAGCGTTCGCATAACCGGCTAACCCACTAATTGGGCGTGCCGGGCCATGGGAAATTGCTGGCCTCGCTTGCATATACCATTCGATTGCACTTGGTCTCTGAGGGATTGGTAGCACAAGGCATTCTCAGAGTAACCTTTTAATGAATTTGCATTTGTCCCTTTAAGAATGAACCCACTGGTGTAGCAGGTAGGTGGATAGACACTCCTCAAATTGCTCTGGTAAAAGCCATTCGCGGTAACGAGGTTAATGGGATTAGACAAGCACCTCGGAGAGGTGTAAGTTCGTTTTACCTTCTCAACCACGACAAAACCATTCAGGCAAAAATGATAGCTATTCGAGAACTTTAATTTCATTAGACGAGCAAATTTTGTCAACCTATCCAGGTGGGACAGGAGTAAATTTATTCTTTAAGAGAATGCGTCCGACGTGTGGTTTCCCCCAATTAGTAAAGTTAAAAGACACTTGATTTTGTCCTGAAAATTCAAAGTTATTTTCTATTAAGCTGATCTTAACCCATTTAGAGAAGTTGATCACACTACCCCGCTCTTAGAAACAACTATTCGAGGTTTCACAGAGTGATGAAAGGGACATGATCCAAAATACTGCGCTCCATTGGGCAATAGCTAACTGTCACATGGATTGCGTTGTACTTCTCCTGGACTACGGAATCCCCTGGAAGCAGCAAATGAAGAGCTTCGTACCCCTTTGGTGGAGGCCGCTTTCTACGGGTGAGATAAGGTTGTCCGATATCTCATCGACCGAGGGGCTAAAGTAGGAGGGAAAATTAATCCAAAGAATGAATCGCCACTGATGATTGCCTGTGAAGGGATTTGTGAGCTTTGTGGTGCTTGAGAGGTCATTCACCTAGCGCCTGTTTGCCTGATAGCAGCCTACCTTATCGTTGAACTAGTCACCTCAGCACTGTGCTTCACTTCCACATAGGGAGATGTTGCAGCCACAGAAGTCCTTTTAAAGGCTGGCGACTCTAGCCAAGACCGAGGCAGAGAACTGCACATAGCTCTTACAAAGGCTGCGTCGAAGGGTCACCCTGAGGTGGCCAAACTCTTGCTTGATCGTGGGGCCGAGGTCAACCGCTGTGAGGATAGCATTGAAGCGCCTATATTTGCAGCCATCAGTAGCGGTAGTTTGGCAGTTTCAAAGCTCTTCATCGGTTGTTACGTCAACATGAAGGAGCGAAACGAGGAGGGTAGCACACCACTCATGGTAGCTGCTCGAAATGGTGCCACAGCCTTGGTTTCAGTGCTACTTGATGTCGGCAAGTAGCGATAGCCTTCTCCACTTTTCTTTTTTCAATCTCACTTTGAATTGACGACTTTACAGAAATTCTCTTCTACCACTTTTTTATTTCTTATTGGTATGCTGCAAATTTACTAATTAATTTAACAGAAATTTCGGGGATTTACCAGACTCGGTTTTTGATTAGCCTAATGGATATTTATTTGTTTGTGTCCTTTGTAAATTTCCTGTTTTACTTTTTTGATTATCTTTTAGGAGCTGATATCAATGCGTTATCAACCAAAGAGCAGGAAACAGCTTTGGTCATTGCTGTGAAGCACAATCGAATAGCTGTACAGGAGTTGATATTGGCAGCCTTCGGACACAGAAATACCTTATTAATGCTATGTGGCATCTCCTCCCGATGGATTTGAGAAGTTGAACAACGATTGTTACCACTATATTGCTATTAATTTGACGCGTTTTTAATCAAGCTCTTTGTTAGAATGCATAAATGTGATCGTTGTAAAAGTATGCAAGCGTTTGTATTTAGAAGTGTGCCAGTAGATGGCATGCGTATATAATAGAAGCGATTTAGCCACAACAGGTACTTAGAATCAGGTTGGTCAGGTCTTTCCATTAAGCAATTTAAAAGCGTACAGACCTTAATAAATCAGTAAATCCAAGTCACCGAGTAAGTTATATACAGAGTTCCATAGATCGCTCGACATTGGTAAAGGAGAGGAGTTGCATCACTCTAGTGGTACACTATGCCCCACACCACTTTTCTCCTATCTCGAACCCATATTTTGTAAAGCAATGGTAAAGCCTGTTAAGCTAATCGAAGCCTACCCACTCTACCAACTTCTAAATGTCTGAAAGCTTTCCACAGACATGTAGAGCAATTGGAAGAGGTACAATAACAGTCTGTTTGCAATACAATACGGAAGTACTGTGCGATAATCCTAATTCACCTTTCCAGTTTGCTAGTCCAGTTTAAAGTCACTCTTCGCGACTTTAAATTACCCTTCTTTTTGCAAATGCAATTTTCATGGCATTCCTTCTGCCTCATTGCGACGTCTAATTGACTGATTCAAGGCCTCGCATTGCCATTTGCGATGATTAGCCGAATGCCTTCGTTAAAATTGGTGCATGCCTTGTGGGTCTATTTGATCACATTACCTCTAATCGGCTTCTTCAAGTTGAACCACTTCTGTACTCATTTAATTACTAAAGATATACCTCCTGGGGTGTTCAAAATCCTCCCTAAAATTTAGCCTAAAAATCTTTGTAGACCCCTGAATGTGAATGATGCATTCCACTACTCCTTGTTGGAGATTGTTATTTGACTCATCAAAGGCAACTTGTCACTTCAGCCTCTTACTGCCTTCCGATTGCTTAGTTTAAAACTGGCTCACTTTTTAGCCTCGAAAAATTGGTTTATTTACGCAAGAGAGGAGATAAAGTGAAAGAGTTCTTTTATGTACCAACCTCTGTTCTTCCCGCAAAACTAACAACTTCAGACCGTTCCGACTGTCCATTCAAAAATCATCCGACTGTAGGTCTGTGTGCGCCAATTTAATTGCATTTTGCCATGAATGTGTGTATTAAAGCCAAAACCTTCGCTTGAGATGGAGTCGGTTAGTATAGAAGGGCTGCTTCTTAAAAAAAGAAGTGAATAACTGGGGAGTTTTTGAGTTAAAAGCAGCTACAAACACGTATTCATTTAGAGCAATCCTACAAGTTTGTTATTTGAGGGCATCTAGAATGCACCCCGTTCCATACTTATTTCATCCAGTTACTAGTCCTTCAATGGAGAAAACTTCCAACCAATAAGGAACCAAAGCATTAAGTTCAGATAAAATTTATCAATCGTTTATTCTTTCCGAAGACAATTTTTAAGGACTCATGGGTGCAAGTAATGGTATCTTTGGGGCTTCAAACTTGGGTTTATTACTCACAAACTTTGGCCACTTTTCCGTTGAATGGAAGGTGACCGATTGTAGATCCTTAAGCACATTTTTCTGGCTGTTTAATCATCATTGATCATCATCATCATCATCATCGATTGTTGTCTTGTCATCCAAATCCACAGTACCTTCAGAAGGGATAGTAAGTGACTTTTGCCTCCGCAGAACACTATATTCCTACCTTCTGTTTATAATCCGTACCATTCTCTGACTTTTGAGAATTCCAACTGATGAGCCTTAATACATTTCCTCCATTTCGTTCCAGTGATGTCGCGAAGTCGACATTTTTGTAGTTAGTGGCTTCGAACTTGAAGGCCTCTTCATTCTCATTCAAAAGATAAATCCTTTTTATCTCTCCTTAGGTAGGCAGTAGGATTTCATTTCAGTCTTCGACTTCTCTTGAAAAAATTATAAAAAAGCAAGGGGCAAAATGCAAGATGCCACTCATATTCTCTTCCGACTACCAAACTCTCAGGAATTGGAAATCACTGCCTCGTTCGACCAGTTTTGAGAAGGTATTTCTGAATACGCCACAACCTAGAATTCTTGGGTACTTTATGCCTGAAAAGTTTAAAAAAGGTCCCTAAAAAGGTAATTTTAGATGAATGACTGCTTCCTAGTCGAGTGAGATAATACAATCTCAGATATTGTCAAAGACCCACAAAAGCACCGTTTAGCTGGACGAGAAAGCGGATCTGGTCTGGGGTCATGTTGGTAAAAGTGGCATTTTTAAGAGTGTTTGGCGGTCACTTGTGATAAAAACAATTGTGAAATTTTTTAAAGGATTAAGGAATTGTATTTTAGACCTGCCTTAACTGTGCAATGACTGTGTTATCCTTAGTTGTTAGGACTATGGCTGCATCCTGTTAACCTCATCAGATGCCTCTGTATCGGTTGTTTTTACACATCTCTAAACGGCATTAAATTGCTTATCAAAAGCACAGCCTTGATGTAGGTGGTTGCAAGTGAGATAAAATTGTCATAACAACTGGTATATCCACACGATATCCTCAATTTTACTGGAACAGGACACTTTTTCAAGGGCACGAAAAGAACAAAGAAAGGAGAAGTTAAGTGCTTACTGCCCTTTCCCCCCTCTCCCCGAAGTTGGCTGCAGTCTAACAACAGAAATGGATGTCTTTTTTCCCTCCTCTCTTCACAAAATAGCAGTGACTCCATTGAATGATGACTTTACTGTCTATACTGTTATTCAATTCAAAATAGTTAAGCCTCACCCCATTTTGGTTCTCAAGTAGCCACCCGAATGGTAAATAATATAAACCCATTCGGTTTAAAGTTCTCCAATTTGCTGTTCCTTAGGTTTCTTTGAAATCTACCTTACTCAAACCCCTGTTTTTTGGAAAAAATTAAAAAAAATGCTCATGTCTCACTGAAATAATCATAGATTTAACGGTAAACCTTTAGGAAGCCTTGTTTCCTTTCTTGTGATCGTCCAATTACAACTTTTACTTGACAGTCACTGATGTGTACTTTTAAAAGACATTGCATGTGAATATTTTTCGTTTTAAAGGTCATTAATGCTCAGACGCAAGATGTCAAATTTTAACCTCCATTGTAGAAAACATGGAATTCACAGTTTCCCGAATATTGGTGTCAAACTTTCTCCGAAAAAAGATCAATTTTCTTGGATTCTATTCAACTGTTGTTGAATGCATTTTGTGTGATGGTCTGGAGACAAAATTATTCACTGGGAATGATTAACTGACACCACTACAGTAATTACGAATGGTAACCAGCTGGAAGAAAGTTTTGCCTGTTCGACAACATACCGCCTCGTATCGCAAAGCATATATGTGGGTGTGTGTGTGTGGTTTTATAAGGGGCCCAAATTAATGGCCATCGGCATCCTCGTTGTCTGCGGTCCATAGTCTGTGAAGTGTGAGACGAGGACCGCCAATTCTAAAAAGACACTCACATATTGATTTCGCCATTGAACATCTTCCAAGATAACAATGGAGTGGGTAGGTAGACCATTTAGATACGTTCGATTATGTGTACTGTTGTAGAAGTCCTACAACCACTAAGCAGTCGAACTTCTCACCTTTTTGCTATTCGACACCACCAATCAGTTACAGCGCTCCACACCAGGTGCTCGCTTCACGTGCACAGAAAGAAGTTGCAACTGGTGGTGCGCCTTTTGTTTTTTTCTTCTGTTCTGTCACGTGAAGATCCCCTACACGTAAAAGTATGAAAAGATGCCACACCCTTTGAGCTGAGGTAAGCAGAGCTGAGAAGGACGACAAACTACTGGGGAAGACACCCTGGCGCTTAGACTATGCACATTTTTACCTTCTTACTTGAAAAATGATTGTTCCAATTATTCTTGGGATAGGATAGTTAGTAAGGAAGTACCTCTTTCCCTTCTTTACTTTTCGTCCAACAGGAAGTGGAGGTGAGCCGAGTGAATCAACCACAGATCAAAGAGTAGGGAGTAGAACATGGTGGTGGAGTAAATAGCCATATCTCATTAAGATTTCTGTGTTTCCTATTTTATGACCTCTAAAATCGTCGTCACATTGAAAGTAAGCGAATCAGGACACTCGTAAGCACGTAGCACATACAACAAAGACGAATCACTTGGAGAGCACTTTTAATTCAGCTTATCAGTGCAAGGGAGGGAGACAATACAAAGAAAAACAAACCAACAGATCAAGGTGAATAGACTAAAGTGTGTGCTGACTTCTGTGACCCATCATTAAGGTCAACGTCACGGATGAGGAGCGGTGGTGCATTGACCAGTAAGTATTGCGAATGCCGGTCACCGATTTGCTTCCTGTTAAGCCTGCAGTGTACACTTCACTTTAATGTTACCTTGCTTCAAATTATGTATACTGATGAACTGCCCTCAAATCCTTGATTCATTTAAGCTCCATCGGTGCAGACATCATCTTGAAACATGCTTGGATGTGGTTAATGGCTAATGAGTGAATGACAAAGTATTTCATTCTCTTTTTTCTCTCTCCCTTATTCTCCCTTTCCTCCTTTTTGGAATGATAAGTGAAATGTCTCTTCTGTTCCGCATATTCAGGATCTTGAGGCGATAGAATGCTAGTAAAC